CCCCCCCCCATGCTGACGGCAAGCTTCTCTCCCAGTCTCTGCTGTTCCTGGGGCTGGTGGCTGCTGTGGGCCTGGCTCTGAACCTCATCTTCCTCGTCTTGTACCTGGTCCGCGCCTGCTGCTGCCGACGGAACAATGGCATACAGACCAAGTGGCGGAAGTCCTGCTGTATCACCTGGATGGCCGTGGTGGCCGGGATCGTCTGCTGGTGAGTCTCCCTTGGAAGTCTGGGAGCTGGGACTCAGAGGGCTCTCGTTTGGCTAAGTGCTAAGAACACAGCCTCGGGGTTAGGACGTAGCTTACCTGGGCCCCCATGGTGGTTCAGCCACCACGAAATATGAATGATATCTGTCCCACTGGACTCAAGAACCCTCAAGTAACCACACCCTTCTGATCAACTCCGGGCACCTGAATGGGAGAACTTGCCCCTTTTCTTGCCAGGTTTCTCAGAAGGGGCTCCACCCTGTGGCCCCAACCCCTGCCCTCAGGTGGGCTTGACCAGCCCCGGCAGGGAGCTCCCTGAGGGGTGTACGGGCAGCATTTCCGGACAGTGGGCATGTCTGGGTCAGTGTGGTCACAAGGAAGCCTGACTTGGCCCCACATCAGTTCCATCTTCACACGAGATCAATAGCTCTTAGTGCCATTAGCTTCTCTTTGCTTTTGCTGAGAAGGGTGAAGGTTGCTGACTCCAGGGCACCCCACTCGGGAAGAAGGGGTGCCCATGCACACGCTGATTCTGTCTGCAGGAACTGGTGTGTTTTTCTTTTGTTGGTACCAACAGAGGCTTTTCTGAAAGGCTAGTGTCATTCTGAGATGCCCCTGGGCATGGTGGTCCTCTAGGGTTAGAGGACCCTCACTGCCAAATGCCCCTCATGTCTGAGAAACCAGGCGGGGCCTGTCACTGCCCCCACAGTTGAGCTGAGCTGAGTGGGAACAGGTACAGGAACCTGGGCCAGAGGGACTGACCTCGCTGGCTAGCCTCTGTTTGTTCACCTAGCAAAGTATGTCTTGGCTGGGGTGTAAAGATCATTGCAGCTCGAATGGAAGAGCAAGAGCCTGAAGTTGTGTTGTAGGGGTGAGGAACAGGGCTGGGGCTGGGCAGACATGTGGCCTGGATTTAAATAATGAACTGAAAGGGTCCAACTCAATCTGGGAATTGAAGATGCATGTGGTTTCCAAGGTCTATCAGGGCAGAGCAGAGCTTGGGCTAGGGCATCAGCAATGGGAAAGAGGACAGGTAGGTGGGTGTGAAGGTGAGGCAGATCCGAAGGGAAGGGAAGGAACTATTAAAGGTTGGCCCTAAGGTTTCTGGCTTAAACACCCTCTGAGGTGTGGGACCTGGCATAGAACCTGAGGAGGGAGAAGATCACAGATTGAATTTAAGTTGCCTTTGAAAGCCTCATGTGGAGATGTCAGAGACACCAATGGAAACACAGGGCTGGAGTTAGAAACCTAGGAGTCTTCAAGTAGAGAGTGTGGAGGCCATGGGTCCAGGTGAGATTTGGGGATAGAAGAGGCTCTAGGGCCAAGCCTTGGCTGTCACTGCCCGCTAGCAAAGGGGGAACTGACAAAGGACATGAGACAGGAAGGCAGTAGGGACCCTGGAAGTCATGGGAGCTGGGGCGGGAGGCGTCGGTTTTAGGGAAGTGTCAGATGCACCCTCCAGTATCATGAGCATGGTTGTTGTTGGGTGTGCTGTCGAGTCGGTTCCAACTCATGGCGATCCCGTATAGGGTTTCGAAGACTAAATCTTTATAGGAGCATAAAGCCCCTACTTTCTCCCAAAGAACAGCAGGTGGATTCAAACTATTGACCTTGCAGTTGGCAGCCACCAGAGCTCTGGCCAGCTGAGATGGGGGTTGGAAAATGCCATCAGATTGAATGGCCTACAGGTTACCACGGTCATGATTTGTGTTCATTTGACTGGGCCATGAACCCCAGGGGTTTGGCAGTTATGTAATGACATCATCGTCCCCATGATGTGGTGCTGTGAGTTAATGCGCTGGAATGCAAAGTCTGTTTGATCCCCAAGGTTGGTGGTTCAAGCTCAGCAGTCGCTCGTCGGAAAACCTATACAGGGTCACTATGGGTCAGAACTGACTAGACGGAACTTAACAACAACTACATGATGTGATTGGATGTGATCTGTCAGTCATGGGATGCAGCACCCTTACCTGGCTCACAGCTCTGGTCCCAGTTTTCCCTGGAGTGTGATCTGCATCATGTTTTATCCTAAAAGAGCAGATTCAATAACAGCTGCTGTGGGAAAATGCACTGGGTGTGAGGTTGGTGGTTCAAATCCACCAGCCGCTCCTCAGAAACCCTATACAGGGTCGCTATGAGTTGGAACCAACTTGGCGGCACTTAACAGTGACAACCAATGTAGGATAAGCGCTGGACCGCAAGGTCGATTTGAACTGCAATGGTCGGAGGTTCAAATCCACCAGCCACTCCTTGGAAACCCTATACAGAGTCGCTATGAGTCAGAACTGATTTGATACGGAAACAACAGCATACAGACCATTATCAATTGAGACTCAGTGAACTGCCACAGAGAATTTCTGAGGTTGTCAATTTTTACGAAAACAAATCGCCATGCCTTTCTCCTGCAAAGCGGCTGGTAGATTCCCACAGCCGGCCTCTCAGCAGACCAGTGCTTAAATCACTGTACCACTGCGGTGCTTCTAAATCCAGAGACTAGAGTACAACAAGGGGCGCTTCAAAAGAGGGAAGTAGTGGAGAGGTGGGATAAGGGGACATCTTTGTCCTCTATTTTGCGTGGAAGTGAAAAGGCAGAACCTCTCAATCCACATTTTTAGGATTTGCACCCAGCCTGACAGCCAAGGGCCTGTAGGGCCAGGAGACGTCCAGTCAATTCTGACTTATGCTGACCCTATGGCCAGAGGAAAACTGCCCCTTTGGGTTTTGGACTGCAAGTCTTTACGGAAGCAGACAACCTCATCTTTCTCCTGCAGATTAACTGGCAGGTTTGATCTACCACTTTTTAATGGATAATGGAAATACAATAAATATAATATGTTAACATATACAATACAATTTCAGCTGGTCATTTGGTAAAGTTCTTCAGACTCCCTGTGGGCTACATGGAGAACTGTGGACCAGATGATGCTCTGGTTAGTGGGTTCGAAGTTAGTTGAACATCCTGAGCTGAATCCAAAGAACACTGTGGATGGCAAACTAAAGATGTGTGCATGTGTGTGTGTGTGTATGTCTTGTGTCTACTCAAGTATAGTCTATGAGTCTATGCCTAAGCCCTGGACCGCAAACTACAAGGTCCACGGTTCGAGCCCACCAGCTGCTCCTTGGGAGAAAGATGAGGTTTTCTGCTCCTGCAAAGATTTAAAAAGCCTCGGAAATCCGATACTGGGTCACTATGAGTCAAAACTGACTTGACGGCACTTAACAACAACTCTATATCTAGTCCATGTGTATGTGGACTGTATCTAGCCTGTGTCTAACTTATGTCTAAATCAAGAGTCAGTGGAGAATTAGTGAAAAAGAGGCAGAGCCCCAATGAGAGGGATTGACACAGTGGCAGCAATAATTGTGAGTGTGGTGAGGACTGGGCAGTGTTTCATTCTGTTGTGCGTGGGGTCGCTATGAGTTGGAACGGACACAGTCTGTCTGGTCTGGGCCTACCCTGCATCTAGATCTGGCCTATGTCAGTGACTGTGACTGTCTGACGGCTCACTCTGCTCGATCTAGTCTGTGTATATGACAAGTACATGAAACACAGAAACCTTGGCTCAGAATGCACCTTCCCAGACCACACTGCTTCCATAGTTTTGGGGCATTTGCTTGGTTTTGTTAAGTTCCGTCTAGTTGGTTCCTACCCATAATGCTTTCTAAGGAACGGCTGGTGAGCCTGAACCATCAACCTTGTGTTCCATACTCACTTTGTAGTCCAGTGCATTAACCCACAGCACCATCCCAGGACTCCAGAACCCATTTAGCCACCCCTCTTTAACAGGGACCGCAGGTGACTCAGTCCTGTGGTCATGGGCCACTCTCGGGAGACACTAAATTAGGGCTGAGGGCATCTGGGAGGAGTTCTTTAACAGGCTTCCAGAAGACTCCATCCTGGATCCTCTTCTATAAAAAAGGGAAAGTGGCCTGGGTCAGGGATGTTGGCCAATTCTAGAGAGCTGGGTTTGACAAGTGCTCATGAGAGAGAACCTAAGGGTCAGGAGACCGGATCCAGACAGACCCATGTCTAAATTAGACAGCAGGAAAGTTAAGGGTGACATGGGGGTCTGAGGGGAGGGGAGGGGTAAGTGGGCTGCCCCATGGTGCATGAGTTAGGGAGGTGAGTTACTGCCCAGTGTCAGAAGGACCTTTCTAGCAGCTGGTATCATTCTGTAGAACAGGTTACCCCGTGGGTGGCATGGAAGATGGGAAAAGGGTCAAGAATGGAGGGGGAGAGACTCTGTTACCAGAGGTGTCCAGAAAGACCCTATAGGGCACTGGGCACCTGGTCTGACTAGACATCAGCCGTTTCCAAGCCCACCTGTGTGTCAAGGTCATCTAGTGAGAAGTACAGTCTCCACCAGACCTGCTGCATTGAATCTTTAGGGCCAGAACCCAACATCTTCCACTCATCAGAGCCATTGGATAGGAGCGTTTTCCTGTTACCTTGGAAGCAAGCATGATGAAACCTCATCTCAGGTACTTAGAACACATTATCAGGACATGTCCTGCAGGAGACAACCTGCTTGGGAAAGAGGGTCTGTGAGACAGAGGAAGACCTGCAGTGAGCCGGAGGGAAACAGTGGCAGCAGCGGTGGGCTCAAACACAACAGCTGGGGGGGTTGATGCAGGACCATGCGGTGTTTCCTTCTGTTACACATGGGGTCGCTGTGAGTTGGAACCGACTTGACGTCACCTAACAAGCACAAATAAAAGTTGCTACAGGAGTCCTGGAGTCCTGGGGTGGCGCTGTGGATTAATGCGCCAGACTGCAAAGCCGTTTGAACTGCAATGTCGGTGGTTCAAGCTCACCAATCACTCCTCAGAAACCCTATACAGGGTCGCTATGGGTCAGAACCAACTCGAAGGCACTTAACAACAACACAGGAGTCCTGGTGTGACACTGTGGGATTAGCACTGGACTGCTAACCACAAGGTTGGTGGTTCAAACCCACCAGCCACTCCTTGGAAACCCTATATAGGATCGCTGTGAGTCAAAACCGACTCGATAGCACTTAACAACAACAACGGGAATCCTGGTGTGACATTGTGGGATAAAACACTGGATAGCAAGGTCGGTTTGGACCCCAAGGTTGGTGGTTCAAATTCACCAGCCACTCCTCAGAAGCCCTATGCAGGGTCACTATGAGTTGGAACCAACTTGATGGCACTTAACAACAACAACAATAGAGCAAGTAGGCCAGAGACTGAGGACCAGCAATTTTTGTTATGTGACTTTGTGTTGTTCCACCCCATCCCCCCGCCCTCCCATTACCCCACCTGCCAAAACTTTAGCCAATTTCCCTGCCCACCTAAGTCATTCACTGTCACCACTGACCTTTGTTTGGGGTCTTGCTCGTAGTGCTGCGGTGGGCATCGGTTTCTACGGAAACAGTGAGACCAATGATGGGGCCTACCAGCTGATCTACTCCTTGGACAGCGCCAACCACACCTTCTCTGGAATCGATGCCCTGGTAAGGCTTGCGCGCAGCTGCCTGGGGCTGGTCACAACCCAGGAGGTCAGCGGGGCCAGAATTCAGGCCCCAGTCAGGCCTCTGCCAGCGGCAGCTCCCATAAGGAGGGCTGGGTGACGCAGACGTACAGATGGTTCTATGGACCTAGCATGCCCTCCAGGTGGGGATGGGCATTGGCTGCTCTCCCGGCTGGGGTGCTGGGATGAAGGGTGGCAGTAGGGTGGAATCCAGCCATCTTCAGGAGTGGGACAGGTTCCAAGTGCAGCTCTCCAGCTGGGGGCTCAAGTGAAAAACTGGTCTGGGCTGTCTGGAAGGAGAGATGTAGCAGAGGGCCTTGGCCCTTGAATGCCGGTCGCCTACCACAAAAGCTCTGAGGTTTTTGGGACTGCCTTTCCTCCCTTGGAGGCAGGCCTTTGGTGCAGGGCAGCATTCTGGGACAGCAGTCCTTGGCCATGCACACTTTTCCCAGGTCCCCCTGGACCAGGTCCCAGCACATGGCATTTTGAGTCAAGCATCCTCAGCCCTGGCGTTTGTTTCTCCCTTAAGCTGATCTGAGGCTGGAATCCCCTAAGGCTCTGATGGTTCGCCTTAAAGACATTGACCATCTTTGAAACCCTAAGTGCAGAGCAGGGAGCAGCCACTGGGACCCACTGCCCACCCTGGGAGACTGAGGGATGATGTTCCAGGGGTCTGGGCAGGATGGAAGAGCGGAGGGACAGTCCCAGAAACCCTCACAGGCTGATACTCATGGAGCTTGGCCAGAAGCCACTCACCCCAAGCAACCTCACCAGGGTCACTCACCCAATGAGCAGGGTAAGCACGGCTTACTTGTGTTTGTTAACTAAACTGTAGTGAACAATTTCACGTAAGTATTATACTGCTGACCGCAAGGTCAGACAACATTGCTGACAATCTGTAGTGAACAATTTCACATACACTATAGATTAGTAGGACTCCTGGTGTGGCGCTGTAGGGTCAACCATTGGGTCACAAGGTCAGTTTGAACTGAAAGATTGGCAGTTCAGACTCACCAGCTCCTCCTTGGAAAAACCCTATACAGGGTTGAGTCGGAACCAACTCGACAGCACTTAACAACAACAAATCAGTAGGAGCCTTGGTCACACAAGGTCAGAAGTTCAAATCTTCCAGTCGATCTGCGGGAGAAAGATGAGGCTTTTTGCTCCCATAAAGCTTTACAGCCTCAGAAACCGTACACAGGGTCACTGTGAGTCGGCACCGACTCCATGGCACATAACCACACCACAGATTAGTAGGTAATCACAAGCAAGCTTGCTTATTGGTAATCTGCTCTTGATCCCCTCTTGGGCCCTAGGGAAGAAGGTCCTTGATTACTACCCTCTTGGGCTCTGTTGGTCTTCTCCCTCTTCCTTCACCCACTCCCCATGGGAGCAAGAGAGTCCCCTGCCCTGGGGAAGCCCAACTGACTTTCAATGGCTAACTTATAACAGAGGGGATGGTCCTTGTCTCCCAAAGTCAAAACCAAACTGGTTGCCAAATCCATCCTGACTGACAGCGACCCCATGAGTTAGAGTGGGTTTTCTTGGCTATCATCTATACATAAGGAGATTCCCAGGTCTTTCTTCTAAAGCACTGCTGGGTTGGTTCAAACTGCTAACCTTTAGGCTAGTGGGTGGTGGTAATGGTTTGCCTTCAAGCTGGTTCCGATACACTGGCCCTGTATAGGGTTTCCAAGGCTGTAAATCTTTAGAGGAACAGAAAGCCTCTTCTTCCTCCTTCGGAGCACCTGGTGGATTTGAACTGCTGATCTTGCTGTTAGCAGCTCAATGCAAAACCCACTATACTACCAAGGCTACTTAGGCTCAAAGTCGAGCTCACATTCCCAGGCCTTGAGAAAGAGTGTCTCCCAGAGCTACTGGGCAGGGACACATAGGAGAGTTCAGAGTCGTTATCCCCTGGATGGAACTTTGCTGCAATGAGGATCCCCAGGCTAGGCTGTGGGAGGGTTCCAGGACCACATGAGGACCCTTCTCATCAAGCTCCACATTTGCACTCCCCAAGCCCCACAGGGAAGGGCCCTGCCAACTCTGGAGCTCCACCCCTCCTCCCTCCATCTCCACTGGAAAGTGACGTAGGAGACCCCCAAGCCGCCCACCTCCCTGACCCTGTCTGGGCCAGGGGCCAGCTCTGAGGCAGAAGATGGAGAGCAGATGAATAATACTAGATGACATAATGTCGGGGACTGGGCTTTGTAAGCTACAAAGTATGCCCCAGATGGGAGTGATTATGGTAATGAGAGTTATTAAAATAATTGTTCTAAGTGTGGGGTGGATGAGAGGAGGCTGGGATGGGGGTTCTGATGAGGGACATAGGGGCTCATGGACTGGCCAGGCTGCCATGACTTAGACATGGACTCTCCTGGGAGCTCAGACCAGGTACCTGGCTAACAAGAGGACCCCAGCATAAAAGTGTGGTGGACCCTCCTCTCTGTCCCCCTTTTCTTGGACCACTCACTAGTCCCACACCTGTGCCTTCTTGCCCCAGAAACACTGTGCCTCAGTGTGCCAGCAGGTCTGAGGTGTCACACAGGGACCATTTGAGAGAGCTAGAACCCAAGGACAGACAAAGACAGAATTCATCTCCCCAATTACCCACATGGTGGAGGGGTCTGGGCACCAGTCACTCACTGGGCCTGGGCAAACTCCTACCCCCTCAGGGTCTCAGTTTCTCCGCTACCCCTGGACCTTCACCATGTGTGTTGGTGCCAAGCTTGCTAGTGGACATATGGGTCCTCTCAGGCGCCCTCACTGAACCCACAGCTGACCACAATGAAGAACCTGAGGTACAGGGAGAAGAAGGTTTTGTCCCAAGGTTGAAAGCTAATACGTTTCACAGTGAGGCCAGAACACATGTCTGAATTCTATTTTGTCCCCACCCTTTACCTTCCTGAAGGATTCCCTGGTGGCACTGTATGTTAAGCATTAGGCTGCTTAACCTCAAGGTAGGCAGTTCAAACCCACCCAACGCTCCAAAGGAAAAAGATGAGACTGTGCTCCCAAAAAGATTTAAGGAGCGGTTCTGTGGTTCCCCATAGGGTCGCAATGAGTCAGAATTGATGCACAATAAGGGTTTAAACTCCTGCGCTCCTCTGTGACCATGCCATTTTCATCCCCTGCCCGTCTGTCCTTCCCTGAGCCCATCACCAACATTCTCAAACTGAAGCAGAGGTCACTGGGACTGGATCAAGAAGCGGCATTGCTATCAGTTCATAGATCATATTGTTGCTGCAAAGGTACCCTAAGGTGTTTGGCACTGGGCTGTTAACATGATCTGCTCCCTTAAAGGTTAAAACCCAACCAATCCTTCCGCCATCAAGGGAGTGGAGGGGTTGAGCTCAGAGCAGACCAGTTCTGTGGTTATAGTTTCCGGTACTTTGTTTTCTTTCCTGTGGGAAGGGAAGAAAGTCGCTGACAGGACTTTAATGCCTTTTGCTTTTTCAAGAAGGAGAAAAGTTAAAGTTGGAGCTAGGGAAGGATAAGAAAAGGTGGAAAAAGTTGGAAGGGCATTTTCAAAGCTCTTTGCTCTAAAGTTCATTTGATAGACAAAATCAGCCATCTTCCAGTCAGATCCACTCAAGGCACCCTCCTGCGTGTCAGAGCAGAACTGCAACAGCTGATTTTTCCAAAGTAGATTGCCACATCTTTCTTCCAAGGTACCTCGGAGTGGACTTGAACCTGCAACCTTTCGGTTAGCAGCCAAGCATATTAGCATTTGTGCTTCCCAGGGACTCCTGAGATAACTCACTGCCATTGAGTCCCTTTGACCCCTAGTGACCCTGTAGAACTGCCTGCAGCTGACTGACTCCCCTTTCTCCCAGAGCGGCTGGTGGGTTGGAATCACTGACCTTTTTGCTAGTTGCTGAACGCTTTTTTAAACTGCTGCACCAGCAAGGATGTATTAATATGTTGTTGTTGCGTGCTGCCTAGCGGAGCGTGCCGCTTCCCACGCATAGCGACCCTGTGTAGGGTTTCCGTGACTGTAAATCTCTATGGGAGTAGAAAACCTCATCTTCCTCACATGGAACAGCTGGTGGATTTGAACCACCGACCATGCGGTTAACAGCCAGCGGGTAACCTGCTACATCACCACGGCTCCATTGATACAGTACAGACATATAAAAATATCACATTACTTAGTTTGCCATAATGTTATCATTTATTAATACTGCCATTTGTCTCATCTTGGTTATAAAACTCTTGTGCACACATGATCTTATTAAACCCAGAAGGAGAGTCTATTGGGGTGATGTCTCTGACTTAGTTACTTTGACGTGCTCTGTCCTGTGTACGGCTACTGGATTCTTTCATCTTTAAGGTCACTGGCATCTCTTGGCCATTCACCAGCTTTGGAGACCCAGGCACAAGCAGGAAGAGAGAACAGTGGCTGACATTGAAAAACAAAGCAAAATAAAGGGAGCCTTTCTTCTCTAGAATCAGGAACTTAGAGTGCGAAGAAGCAGATGTGAAAGGCCACAGTGAGGATGTTCAATCCCCCAGCACTGCAGACCCAGGGTGTGTTATCAGGGGAGCTTGTGCCCCATCCGCCCCCGTGCTGAGCTATCACTGGGGCATTTTCATCGTCCTATGGAAGCTGGAGTTACTGGAGGAGATTGACAAACCCTACACACCAACCACTGTAACTCTTTGAATTACGAATCCAATCTCGAAATACATCCAGTGAATGAGAAAAATACATGCTGTGTTTCCCATTCATAATAAGGAAATAGGGGAGTTTGACACGTTTGCAGTATACTGTTTTTATTACCTGATGGAAATTTCCAATATATGTGGGTCCCCAGGCCTTGAAGGAACCCTGAATCTGCTTTCTAGTACCGAGCCCTGGGAGTCTGGGTCTGGTGTAGTGAATTCACCCAGCTGCTAACCAGCAGATGGGAGGCCCAGGTCCACCCAAGGGTACCTCAGAAGAAAGGCCTGGTGATCTCTATGGTGCACAGATATGTTCTGACACACATGGGGTCGCCATGAATTGGGATTGGCTCCATGGCAGCTGGTTTGGTTTATTTTGCTTTGATCGTCTTCTCAAACCTAGTTTTATTTGTCTAAATGACACCTGTCCCAGAATCCTATAGTCCCAAGCCCTACCTCTGTGCTTTGTTTGCGATCCAGTTAAGGATCGTCCCTTCCAGCTCTTCCTGGGAATAGCCTACGGCCCCACTTCCCTAATATTGCGGCCCTAAGGAGCTCGGGTTGTGAACCTCAAGGTCAGCAGTTAGAAACTATCAGCTGTTCCGTGGGAGAAAGATGAGGCGTTCTGCTCCTGTAAAGATTTACAACCTCGGAAACCCTGTGCAGGGTCACTATGGGTCGGAACCGACTCCACGGCACATGACAACAACAAAAACAATAGGGCAGAGTAAAATAGAACTTTCCGAGACTCTAAATCTTTATGACAGCAGACAGCCTCCTGGTACCTGCACAGAGGCTGCTGGGTTTGAACTTCTGATCTTGCAGTGGGCAGTCCAGTGCTTAGTCTGTGCCACTAGGACTCCTTCCCTCAGAGTTCCTGAGAGACCAGAACCTACTCAACCACCTGGCAGGACAGACGTCCTGCCCCCAGGGACATGAGCCTGCTGGGAAGGCCTGGGTTTCCTCCTTCTGTGAACGTGGAGCTGGACAGGATCTTCTGTCTGTTGTTTCAGCGTCTTGTTGCGCCCCAGGACCCCTGCTCTGTTGCTAGTGCTACAACAAAGCTTTTCCCTTCTTGGGTATTTAGAAACCTTGTTGGTAGGAATGAAAGGTCAGGTAGCAAGAGAGGAACTCCAAAGTTTAATCACGTCTTAAACATGTCGTTCCTCATGTCTAGAAAACAATTCTTCATGTAGGAAGTTTAAAGTTTTCATAAAACTTTCGAGGGAAAAACAAAACTACAACAAAAGAAAACCATATATATGGCTTTGTTTTTTTAACATGGATATATGTTGTTCTTAAGTGCCATCAAGTCAATTCTGACCCATAGCAACCCTGTATAGGGTTACTAGGGAGTGGTTGGTGAGCTTGAACCACAGACCTTTCAGATCAAACCGACTTTGCAGTCCAGCACATTAACCCATAGCACCACACCAGGACTCCAGGACTCCAATGTGTGTGTGTGTGTGTGTGTGTGTGTGTGTGTGTGTGTGTGTGTGTGTGGCGTTGTGGGTCAGTGCGTCAGACTACAAAGCTGTTTGAACCGCAAGGTTAGCGGTTCAAGCTCACTAGCTGCTCCTCGGAAACCCTATGCAGGGTTGCTATGGGTCAGAACCAACTCAACAGCACTTAACAACAACAACAACATACACACATATATGTTGTTAAGTGCCATTGAGTCGGTCCTGACTCAGCGATCCTGTATAGGGTTTCCAAGGAGCAGCTGGTGAGCTTGAACTGCCAGCCTTGCCATCTAGTATTTATCCTACAGAGCCACATCAGAGCTGGTGCTGTAGGATAAACCCTGGATTGGGAACCAGAAAGTTGATGGTTCAAACCCACCAGCTGCTCCTTAGAGTCCTTATACAAGGTTGCTTATCCTACTGTGCCACACCAGGACTATATACATATATGTTGTTAGGTGCCATATAATTGGTCCCAATTCATAGTGACCTTATGCACAACAGAACAAAACACTGTCCGGTCCTGAACTGTCCTCACAGTTGATTGCTTGAGCCCATTGCTTCTGCCACTGTGACAAGCCATCTTGTTGGGGTTCCTCTTTTCAGCTGACCTTGCACTTTCAATAAATGTACCATAGAGTCCTGGTGTGGCACTGTAGGATAAGCACTGTACTGTTTATCCAAAATAGCTCCAGGGTCTATTTTATTTTGTTTCCCCATCTGGGTCTCTCTAGCACTGGGTAACCAAAAGGTTGGCGGTTCAAATGCACCCGCTGCTGCCTGAAAACCCTATACCAAGTCACTATGAGTCAGAACCAGTTCAAAGGTGATTACAACAACAGATATACAGGCATGCCGTACTTCATTGTGCTTTCCAGATATTGTGGCTTTTACACACTGAGGGTTTGCACAACCCTCGTGGAGCAAGTCTACTGGTGTTATGCTGACATGTGAGATACTGTTCTCACAATATTTCACACTTCTCCAGGATGCTATTTATCAGGAGCTCTGGTAGCGTAGTAGTTACGAATCAGGCTGCTAATCTTAAGGTCAGCAGTTCAAAACGTCCAGCTGTTCCGTGGGAGAAAGATGAGGCTTTCTGCTCCATTAAAGATTTACAGCCTCGGAAACCCTGCACAGGGTCGCTATGAGTCGGAACTGACTCCACACAACAACAACAAAATTTATCAGGGAGCACAGTAGATCTAGAGGATAAGCACTGGACTGTGAACCCCAAGGTTGGCTATGGGAGACCAGCAGCCACTTCTATAGAGAAAGATGAGGCTTTCTATTCCTGTAAAGATTCACAGCCTCAGAAACACAACTCAGGGTTGCTATGATTCGGAACCTACTCTACGACACTCACAACAACAATTGTGTAGTGTAGTGTACACATCACTTAGATACACACAGGGTATTCGCTTTCTTGGGTCATATGGAGCCAAAATAGCTCTGCGGTCTATTTTATTGTGTTTCCTCATCTGGGTCTCTGTAGTAAGATTCTGGGACAGGGAGCTCAGTCCCTGGTTAAAGCCAGAGCAGGTCCTGTCGTCTGAATTAAGGGCTGAGAGGGATGGTGAGTCCAAGCTTCTTGGGGCTGAGGGCAAGTGGTCATTCGTTCACCCCTTGAATTAGCCACCAACCCCCCAGGGCCAAAGTCACCACCTTCCCTGCCCCTCCCAGGTTTCCGGAACCACACAGAAGATGCAGCTGGACCTGGACCAGTACCTGGCTCGGCTCAGTGAGATCTTCGCGGCCCGAGGGGACTACATCCAGACCTTGAAGTTCATGCAACAGATGGCCGGCACCATCATAACCCAGCTCTCGGGGCTGCCAGTGTGGGAGAACGTCACTGCTGAACTTGCTGAGGTGATCGACCAGACCACCTACGTGGAGTATTACAGGTAGGGTCCATGTTGCCGGCATGTCAGGGCCCAGGCTGAGTTAGCGGCTGGGTGCTTTAGAGTCGTACAAAGTGTTCGCCTTCAGAGGCCTGTCTTCTGAGGCTCCTCTGAGGGGGTTCAAATTGCCAGCCTTTGTGCTAATAATAGTTGACACCATTTGTACCTCCCAAACCAGAAGTGCTCCTCTCCAGGCCCATAAACACAACTGCCCCGTAAGGTTTTAAGGCTACCATCTTTACAATCATCAACCATCAGGTTGTTTCTCCCAAGGAACGGCTGGTAAGTTCTGTCAGCCACTTGGTGGCCAGCCGAATGCTTAATCGCTGGCCAGAAGTCAGAGTGCATGCACTCTTATAGGACCGAGTGATGGACACTACGCTCAGGCACTGACCCTAAGGGTCAGTAAGTGCCCGAATCCCAGCGCTGGAGAAGGCCCCTACCTCACAGGCGGCATTGAGCTCCTGATGATCTGCATTCTCCATGACTGGTGCTTGGGAAACACTCATGGCCCCCTTGTGTGTCTGGGTTCGTTCTTCAAGAAAGTTCAATGACAGGAGATGCGCAAACAGGCAGTTGGTCCATGTCCATAACCAAGGAGCCAGGTCAAGTCAGCCCAGAGGAGGAGTTCTCTGCAGCTGCAGGCTTGGCCTCGGGGTGCGGAGACTGGGGAAGTGGTGGCTTCTAGACAGCCCAGTCATGCCCTCGATCCACTCATATAACCTTGTCCTTTGGGGGGGTGGGGGCGGAACTGCAGGGCACCTCCCTACCTTTAGCACACTCATACCTGAGTCATCTAAGCTTCGGGGGTCTAGGTATGCCTCCCCCAGACTCTGTCCTCCAATCCCCATCACAGTTGTCCTCCCCCATGTGCAGGCTGTAGTGGGGAGGTCACTCTGCAGACAGCCAAGAAGGAGGTCCCCTGAGGGTGACATTCACCCAGTGAATGTGTCCTGTCTGTGCCCAGCACCGAGCATGGGGAGGCACTGGGCTGGAGTGATCACGTCATGGAGAACAAACACATGACCCATCGATTTGGCTCTTCTTCAAGCCATTGGTCAAGGCCAGCACCTTTGCCGGCAGCATTGTACCATGTACTCTGATTTTCTGGATTTCTGTCCAATTATATTATTAAAGCCCCACCCAGGAGGTCCCTACTGCACTAAAGACTGAATCCAGATGAACTGTTCTTGATGCTCTCTGACTGAAGACCTTCCTACCCTGAACAAGCATCACCTAGAAAACCAAAAACCCAGCCCCGTTTCCATCCAATCCATTCCAACTCAGATCCGGCCGATAGGACAGAGGCGAACTGCCTCACGGGGTTTCCAAGGCTGTAACCTTTACTGAAGCAAACAGACTCAGCTTTCTCTGAGGAGTGGATGATAGGTTCAAACCACTGGCTTTTTAGTTAGTAGCACAGCGCTTAGCCACAAGGCCACCAGGCACGCTTGTTAAACATAAATCCCTGAGTCCCATCTCCAATGTTTCTGACCGAGTCACTGCTGTTTCCCAGGGATAGCAGGTCCTCCTGAGCCCAGACCCAGCCCCGAGGCCTATTTGCCCCTCTTGTCTTCTAACAAAGGAAGAGCTAACTGGCAGGGCTTAGAGGAGGCAAGTTCATGGATCCTCCCTGCGCCTAGCCCATCCTGCTACAAACCGTCTTGACAGAAAGGACCTAAGTCCAGCATCCCACCAGTGGGTGGATGTTCACGTGTAGAAGTTTCTCCCCAGGACAGGCTGTCCATACCTTGAGACTCACAGTAGTATCTAGTCCTCCTGTGACAATTGTCTGGGTCTGTCAGATCTCTCTGTACCAAACCCACTGGGACAGTCTTAACTGCTCTGTAGGATTTCCAAAACTGTAAATCTTTGTGGAAACAGATAATCTCATCTTTGTCCTGTGAAGAGATTGGTGGGTTTGAACCACTGACCTTATAGTGCTTAACACACAATACCCCCAGGGATCCTTTCATTGGTAGATAGAGGGATAAGAGAACCTTTAATAGACTATCATGTGGTATCAACATAACTTTTATTATTATTAAGTGTTGTCAAGTGGGTTCCTACTGATTATTGTTGTTAAGTGCCGTCGAGTCAGTTCTGACCCATAGCGACCCTGAATAGGGTTTCCGAGGCTGTAAATCTTTACGGGAGCAGAAAGCCTCATCTTTCTCCCATGGAGCAGCTGGTAGTTTTGAACTGCTAATCTTGCAGTTCACAGCCCGATTCGTAGCCACACTGCTATGATATCCACTTGTTTGTGGTGGTCTGGAACAGACCCCACCATATTTCCAAGGTCTGCCTGTGTTTTCATGTTGAGACAGGTCTGTTCCAAGGTTGGCACCTGGTGGCTCCTGACATAAAGCCTGGTTCACCCCTCTGTGGGCTTGCTCTTTCTCTTGTGGACACTGCTGCAGGACAGAGGCTTTATTTAGGGATCAAGGAGGCTAGCTGTCCAAACTTTGGGCCTGGGTTTCCTGGACAGCCTCCCATCTTTGCTTTCTGGATGATTCTTGAGCTTGGCACTCAGCTATGTACTTGTGCACATGGTCTGTCTAAGGGTTGGAAGAGACAAAAAGCCAGGAGAATGTGATCTTCCAGTGGGGGCAAGACACGTACGCTGCCAGAAGGCAGAGACGGGAGGTGCTGGGCCAGGAGAGGGAGGACGGAACAGCTTCGAGAGCCAAGTTCTTGTCTTAGAAATCTACACGCAGCCAGCCGTCCCAAGCTCCCCTGGGAAAAGCCGAGCTGTTTCCAGGAACCCATTTACAAGAGGAGGCGTGGGTGTGAATGAACACATTGAGACACAGCTTTGCAAAGTGAATTAGACGCACTCTGAACTTGATTTCCTGCGAATGTCAACAGTGCGAGAGAGAAGGAGACAGACCTCTCTCTAGAGGCTTAAAAGACAGCTGGTTGTGTCCCTGGAGGGAACTCTCTAGATGGGGAACCTGTAACCCCTGAGGGGACTGTCTTCCGATCTGTAGCATGGGACCCTGTACTGTATGTGGTTCTGTGGGTTAGTGCCCACTCAACAACAACAGTATTGGACGCTCCCTGAGGCTCCATCCGGCTCTGACAGTGAAGCTAAGGAAACTACTCCCTTAGTGGTCTCTTCCGAGTGGAGAACAGAATCTGTTCTTTCCCGAAAGCCCCCAACTCATTTCCTGAAGACACCAGATGTCCACAGGAGTCCTGGTGTGACAATGTAGGATAAGCACTGGACCACAAGGTGAGTTTGAATCACAGTTCAAACTCACCAGCTTCTCCTAGGAAATCTTGTCCAGGGTCACTGTGAGTCGGAACGACTCAATGCACTTAACAACAATCAGATGTCCACAGTGGGCTCCACCCCTGTCCTGTGCTGGATTTGATCCCGTCTTTTGGCCTGAAGCTCAATTCATAAAGGGCCTCTGGAATGCTGGGTGGACTCTAGCTTGCTCCCACCCATCCAGCTTTTTTATTCTTCTACCAGCTCCACTGGACTCTACTTACCAGCCAAATCCTTTCTCACCAAAGGAGAAAGCTACCGTGGAGCTGTTGGTAACTGCTGTCAAGTCCTCTGTAGAGTTTCTGAGGAGCCACTGGTGAGTTTGAATTGTCAACCTTGCAGTTCAAACAGACCTTATGGTCGAGTGCTTATCCTACAGTGCCACACCAGGATTCTCTACTGGTGGAGAGGAAGGGTCAAAGTTTATTTGGCTGTTGCATCAAGAGAAGTCGCTATCAAAAGACTTCCGTCCTTTGTGCCTGGGGGAAGTGTCCTGTCCCGACTTCTTCCACCCTGCTCTCCCCTATTCAGCCCCTCCAACCAGCCCCCGGGTAGGGCAGTGGAAGGAGCCGTTAGAGGAGTCTCTTTGGAAGGGAAAGCAGGAGGGGCTTGTTTACAATCTTATCTGTGCCACAGACTAAAGTCCTCCTGTTCTTCAGCTGGGGCTTTAGAAAAGCCACCCTTTGTGTGGATTTCATGTGGATTTCATGTTCATGAGGAAGACTTTCAAAAAGCTAAATTAACACAGTGGTTGCCACAATGTTTGGATGATGCCGAACCAGGCAGTGTTTGTTCTGTTGTACATAGGGTCACTGAGTTACCACAACAGTACGTTGTTGCTGTGATGTGCCGTGGAGTCGGTTCTGACTCATAGCAACCCTGTACAGGGTTTCTGAGGTTGTAAATCTTTACAAAGCCTCATCTTTCTCCCGCGCAACAGCTAGTAGTTTCAAACTGCTGACATTGAGGTTAGCAGCTCGATTCATAACCCCTATGCTACCAGAGCTCCTTCCACAACAGTTTATTATTGTTGTTAAGTGCCATCCGTAGGGTTTCCAAGGAGTGTCTGATGAGTTTGAACCGCTGACCTTGTAGTACAGCACCACACCAGGACAAAAAGGCCTTGGGAGTGGGGGCGGGCAGGTGACTGGGACTAGAAGACCCAGAGTGTGAGTGTACTTCATATCAGTTCCTTGGGACCACCCTGGGATCCCTGCCCCATCATATGTACCTTGGCAGTCTGAGTGTGGCCCCATTCTAAGCATCTCTGACAAGTAAATTCAAATATTCCTAGTGGTAGATTTCAAAGCTGGGAGAACAGACGGAAGCAAAGGGGTCAACATTGTAGGGACCTTTCATAGGTCTGTGCATTTCCATGTCCTGCTTGCCTGGTTCTAAAGCTGTCGGTGGATTCTAGAAGCAAAGGAAACAGGTCTAGGGACAGGCCTGCTGGGAGAGTGGAGATAGTTTAGTCCTGCACTGTGTAGTGTAGTAGCCAGCAGGGGCTACTGAATGTACATTCATCAAAACTAAATAGAAACGTATTTCCTGATTTGCACAAGCCACATTTTAAGTTCTCAAACGTCACAGGTAGACATTAGCTATGGAATTGGGAAACGCAGCTCTAGAACCCAAGTCTCTTTGCTTCAAGCTCTGTCTGCTGGTGTGGATGTTCCAGCAGGAGGTTAAGGCCACTCCCTTGTCAGCCAGGAATGAGGGTCAGGCTTGGAAGACTTTTCATTTCAGGTCATGCCTACAGTGACCTTCCTGCTCTGAACAGGGAATGTGCCTCAGGCCTAGGTAGCTGAGCAGCTGGCTGGGGCAGTTTGTTGTCATGCAGGTATCAGAGGTGGGCAGCAGGTGGGAGACCCTGACTGCCCTTCCCCTCATTGCAGGTGGCTCTCCTACCTCCTGCTCTTCATCCTGGATGTGGTCATCTGCCTCATCGCTTGCCTGGGTCTGGCCAAGCGCTCCAGGTGTCTGCTGGCCTTGTGAGTAACCTACCCTGGACCTCCTGGGCATCTGAGAAAGACAGAAAGATGGGGTCCTGGCCAAGTGGGGGGCTTCCGGGCTGCCAGAACCACCTCCTGGTCCTTCCTCAGCACCCACTGAGGAGAGACAGCAGCCACCAGCTTGCCAGTTGGAGACTACTGGTCAGTGAGGACTGAGCTGACCCCCATGTACCTCTCCCTCATCCTCCCATCTGTGTCCCTCTAGCCCTGGGGAGGAAGGCTGCAGGCAGTGGGTTCCTTGTGACTTCCAGCTCTTAACGTGGCTAGGATTGGGGCTTCCTCCTGATCCCTGCAGGGGCCTAGGGACAGAGGAGGGGAGGGGTGGGGATGGGGGAAGGGTATATTTTCCCTCAAGCCACACACCAGTGCCAGAGGTCCAGAGGGTGAGCGCCTTTTTCCTAGGATGCTGTGCTTTGGGATGCTGACCCTGCTCCTCAGCTGGGCATCTCTGGCTGCCGACACTGCCGCGGCCGTGGTGAGTTGGGGTTGGGGCTGCAGAGGACAGGGGTTCGGCTAAAGGGCAGGTCTGGTGGTACCTTCCTAAGGAGCTCTACGCCCAAACTGCATGGTGCTGACCGGTTGTCTCCCATTTCTAAGTAACCAGGACACCATTAGAAAAAGGGGACTCATCATTGTTCTGTGGGCATATGCTATTCTGGTCGAACCTAAACACTAGAAGCTTCTAGTTTTTGTGACTTTTCAGTGAGAAGTAGACCAGGACAATGGAGGGTCCATTTTTGAGCTTTCTGGAACATAGAACCATTCACTCATCCATGCATATCCCGTTCTGTGCCTGGGGTGAGGGACTTCTGTCTCGCCAACCTGGAGGACTTCAGCAGGGTGCCTGGGGCAGGCCTCTGCCAATAAATGAATAAAGGTCCTGTGTGTGAAGCTGTGAGGGAACATGCAGATAAGCAAAAGATTATGGCTGCTGATAGGGTGGAAAGGCAGGTACCTGATACCACCGTGCACCCGGTCTGGTTGGAGGGTGCCACTCCCCCGCGAAGCCTATGTAATGGTCAGTCTTCAGCCTGCAGGCAGTCACTGCATGGTACCCACAGAAAGCCTGAAGTCCGGTCCTGTGTGGCAGAGCTGGGCCTCATGGTGGAGGGGATGGGTCTCTCCAGCCTGTCCTCCCCGCTATGTGTCCACAGGCAGGAGTCCAAGCAGAGGGCACCCAGGGTCTGAGAGATGAGGCACAGGGAGGGGCCAATGGGCAGTGTCTATTGATCTGTGGTCAGCTGTGAGAGATCATTCAGCAATTTAAAACTAACTGCTACCATAGTGCTATTTTCTGTACATTAATCTCTGAGAACCAAGGACTTGGGCCCCCTCAGAACCAGACCCAGGGAAGGTTTGAGAGGGAGGGGAGACTGGGCCGTAAGCGGCGGGAGCTGGACACAGCTGCAGACACAGCTGTGGCTTCAAAGGCCCTCCTCTCGGGCTACTGTCCCCACAAAGGACAGCTCAGACTCCTCTGGCCACCCTCGGCCTGCTGGGCACCATGAGCAGCCCTCTGGGAGACAACGCTCTCCTCACCCTCACTATCCGGGGAAGGGGTCTTCTCCCCGCCTCAGGCTCCCCTGTTCTGGAAACCAGTGCTACTGAATCTCCCCATGGGGCTCCAGGGATGCAGGGGAGCAGAAGAAAGGGCATTTCCCTAATCTGTTTAGTCAGGCTCTGGTGAGGGTGCTGGTGCTGAATGGGCCTTTGATAGCACCCAGAGCCTGCTGCATTTTAATGGGAGGAGGGACTGTCAACGGGTCATTGTGGAGACCTTTTGTTGTGGCAAGCTGTGAGCTGGTGCTGAGGCCCCACCCCTCCCCTCTCTGTCACCCAGAATGGACCCCACTGCCCCCTGAGAATCCACTACGTTGTATAAGAAGGAGAAGGGCTAGAGGGAGTTAGGGGGGGCCATTGGTTGAGACTCTGGCCCTCCCAGTCTCTGTGACCTCAAATGACCTACTTGAAGTCAGAAGGTGAGGTAAAAGGGCATATGGGACAGAGCCACAGCCATTGGAAAGTTCTAGAAGGATGAGGTGAGGTGTTCCTAAGAGAAAAGGGGATGAGGTGGAATCTGAGAAGGGGAGATATATCCGTCTCCTAGGGACTGTGTCAACAAAGTACCTCAGAATGGGGAGCTTGTAAGAACAAATTTACTCTCACAGTTCAAGAGGTTGGCAGCCCAGAGTCAGGGTGTCGGCCATGTTGATTCTTCCTGAGGAGAATCTGTTTGAGGTCTCTCCTAGCTTCTGGTGACAGCCAGGGATCTTTGGTGCTCCATCTCCAAATTTGCTCCGTTATCACACATCTGTCTTTCTTCTGTGTGTTTCTGGTTAGGATCCAACTTACTATAGTACATGACTCATGTTACCTGAGAACATCTCCAGAGACCCCTAGAGGTCACCCGGCCACCTAGCTGGGACCCGTGTCACTTGTCCACCTCTGGGTTCTTTCCCACCCTGGGATGCGTGGAACGGGACTAAGTGGTCAGGGCAGTGGTACCCAGTTCCTCCTCCATTCCCATCTCTCCTGGGCTAGGGCGCCAGCGACTTCTGCGTGGCTCCTGACAACTTCATCCTGAACATCACAAAGGGCCGAATCAGCACAGGTAACAAACTCTCCAGCCCACGTGGCCAGCCATTCTGCACTGTGGTCGCCCTGCCCCTCCCTGCCCCTGGACTTCAAGGCCAGCTGGGATCCTGCCTGACACCAATGGCTTTGTCTTGCAGAGGTGACCCGCTACTATCTGTACTGCCGCCAGAGCACAGGCAGCCCCTTCCAACAGGTACATCTGCAATCCTCTTGGTCCCACAGTCCAGTTCTGGCGCTGAGGAGGGAGCCCTAAGGCGCTGGGTTTTCCCTTCTTTGTTGGGTCCTCTGTCTAGCTGAAGGGACATGTCCCCATGTTCTAGATCAGCATTTCCTCCACCTTTTGTCATCTCTCCAGTGCTTCAGACCCACATCAATGGTGGCGGTTGTTGTGTGCCGTGGAGTCGGTTCCAACCCATAGCGACCCTGTACAGGGTTTCCAAGGCTGTAAATCTTTATGGGAGCAGAAAGCTTCATCTTTCTCCCGCGGAGCAGCTGGTAGTTTTGAACTGCTGACCTTGTGGTTCGCAGCTCAGTTCGTAACCACTACGCTACCAGAGCTCAGACCCACAGTGACTCTCTAAAATAGAGTTGGACCGTCTAGAGCATTTCCAAGGGTGTGGTCTGGTGGTGCAGTGGGTTAAGTGTTGGGCTGCTAACTGCAAGGCCAGTGGGTCAAACTCACCAACCACTCCACAGAAGAAAGATGAGGCGGTCAGCTCTAGTAAGCATATACCATCTCAGAAACCCTAGGGGGCAGTTCTACTCTGTCCTGTGAGTGGACAACTCAACAGCAGTGGACTTAGTGGGTAATGATTACAGAAACTGACTGCCACATCTTTCTCCCACAAAGTGGGGATTTGGCAATTCACAGAATTTCAGAGTTTTGGGGGGGATAAAAGGCAGCTGAGATTTAATGTGAGAGGAAGCTGGATGTTATAGGAGCAGCAGATACAGAATGTGTCCTTCATTTCTCTCGGTCCCTCTGTTTATTTCCTTGATGCTTGAGGCTCCAGAATCAGAACACACCTGGATTTTTAAAAAAATTTGGGTGAAGAGAAAAGATACCCAGAGTCAGAAATGTTACTGGTCAAAGTCCTAGAATGGGAGTCTAGGAAGAAGCGTAGTGGGCTCTTTGAAGAGCCTGTTGCAAAATGGTTGGTATGAGGCTTTGAGCTGAGCACCCTTGTTTTCAACTCACCTGGTCAAGAGATTTGGTTACTGAGCAACACACACAAAGTGCGCTTCCCTAAGAGGTATATTAAGTTCGGAGAACAGCTTCCCCCCTTTATTTTTCCCATTCAGGTTACTGTCCCCCGCTGGCCCACATTTTAATGATTTGGTGTCTCTTCATCAGCCCTGACTGAACTGGAGAGGAGGACTTATGGGGTGGGGCCCAGGATTCTGCATTTGACTAGCTCCCAGTCTGCATTTGACTAGCTCCCAGGCCCAGACTCTGAGCAGCAGGGAACAAAAGACCAGTATTGGTAGCTATCAAAAACCCAGAGGGATGAGGGGCAAACTGCTTGCCAGTGGGGAAGGCTAAATCAGGGTGTACCTGCTGGGAGGCAGACAGGGTCACAGGTCACAGGTGCAAGCCCAGTAGCTGGTAGCTGCAGGCTCACAGGGGCTGCCCTCTCCACATCCAGACACTGACCATCTTCCAGCGTTCGCTGACCGCCATGCAGATTCAGACCTCCCAGCTGCTGAAGTTTGCCGTGCCCCTCTTCCCCACAGCAGAGGTAAGGTGGAGGCCCAGGACCAGCTTTAAATGTGAGGTTGTAGGTCTGTTCCCTCCCCTGCTGCCATTGGTGATTTTCTCAGCAATGTCCCTTCTTGCCTCCGCAGCCTTTTGTCTGCATGTTTGCCTCTGTCTCTCCCACTTCAGAAAGATCTGCTGAGGACCCAGCTCCTGCTAAACTCGTCTGAGACCAGTCTGCACCAGCTGACGGCCCTGCTGGACTGCCGAGGGTTGCACAAGGTATGGGGGTGTACCTGGCTCTTGAGTCTCTCCAGTGGTGAAAGAGACAAGGTGGGGTGGGAGCATCGTTCCCTAGAACAGTCCAAGAACTTGAAACATCAGACACGTGAATGCATCTCCCTAGAAGTCAACAGCTGGATGCAGGGCAAGCAGTACAACAGTGACCACGCTTGTCTACTGAGGACTTGCGTTTATGCGCACAGATTCAGTATGCCACTTGGCTTCACAGTTATATGAGGAGGGAGATGGAATATGTTGATGTCTGTCTGGTAGAATCCAGAACATTTCAGTAGCTGGCAAGTCAAGGAGTTGGGTTTTGCACCCTAGCTTAGAACTAAGCACATGGGCACTGCTCGTGTTTGCCTCTCCCTCAAACCCACAGCAAGGTCTAGCCACCTTCCTCTCGCCTATGTCCTGAATATGCCCACCCGGCTCTACACAGCTTATACTATCGCCACTGTGAGGACACTGTAGCTCCTAGCCCGGGCCCCATGTTCTCTCTTGTCTCCTTCCATCCTTACCTTTTGCACACGGCAACCAAAGGGCCACATCTCTTCCATCCTCAAAGCCTCCTGTGTCTTCTGCCACCTGGGACAAGATCCATACTCCCCACCTGCCCCATGGCCCAGCGTGACCTGCCTCATCCAACCTCACCTCAGCTACCTTTGCCGTCCTGGCTTCACCTTAAATGGCAGGCTTTCCTGACCTCTGCACCCTGACCCCAACAGTTGTCCCAACATTCATCTAGTGCTCAGCAGATGTGTGTAGGACAAACCCAAGACACATGCTATGTTGGGTGCATAGTGGTCTCAGGATGGGGAGAGGCCGTGTGTGTCTACCATTCCCCATCCAACGACCTGTCCCTCTTCCCCTGGCTCCCACCAGGACTACCTGGATGCCCTTTCTGGCATCTGCTATGATGGCATTGAGGGCCTGCTGTATCTCGGCCTCTTCTCTCTGCTGGCTGCCCTGGCCTTCTCTGCCATCATCTGTGCAGTACCACAGGCCTGGAAGCACTTTGCCACCAGGTAAGGAGGAGCCGAGGGAGGCCAAAGGCTGGCGTAGTCTCAGCCCCCAAAGCATCGCCAAGAGCGCAGAGCCAGGGCTGAGTGTGGGCACAGCTCCCCCGCTACAGCTGCCATCCCTTGCCTCTGTCTTCCTGGAAGGGCCTCTGCAGAGAGGGGAGAGTTGCTTTGGGGGCTAGGGTAGGTGCACTCGAGGTCTTTAGGAGGCAGAGAGACCAAGTGGTGTGGAAACCCCTCATGAATAGGTAAGACACAGGTGAAGGAGCCAAGGTCAGGATGGTGGGCTTCCTGGGGGAGGAGGTGGGAGAGGAGGCAGGATCGAGTACTGTGATTTCAAGAGTCTGAAGGACACTGGCCATGAAAGCCAACTGGGAGGAAAGATGGGGAAGTAGGCAGGACTCTAGCTGTCCTCTGCATCTGTCTACCTGCCACAGATATCTCTTGTTCTAGGGACAGGAACTACGATGACATCGACTATGAGGACCCCTTTAACCCTCAGGCCTGGCGCATCGCTGCGCACAATCAGCCTCCGGGGCCGCTTCACAGCTTCTGCAGTTACAGCAGCAGCCTGGACAGCCAGATGAGTGCACAGCCCCCAGCCCAGACCATCTCCAACGCCCCAGTCTCTGAGTACATGTACGTATCCGAGTACACATCACACGTTCTGCGGGAAGCTGGGGCGGAGCCCTCAAGGAGGGGTGGGGCCTGGGAGAGCAGGCGTGGGGATCCCGCCCTAAAAGGCCGAAGACCACCCTTTCCCTTCCTTACCCGCATGAGGAAGAGGAATCCACTGTACACGCCATCTACAGGTTGCATGTGCCACCTCAGGGTGCCTTGAGGCCACCTGGGCCCCTATCTTTCCGCTCACATGCCCCCTTTCCACCGTTTCACCCCTAACCCTGCCATACACACCACGGGACCTCGTGTGGCTGTGGGCATACATGCTACACGCCCTCACCCCACCCCTCAATGAGCTCCTCTCTGCCCCATGCAGGAACCAGGCAGTACTCTTCGGTGGGAACCCCCGCTACGAGAACGTGCCGCTGATCGGAAGAGGCTCCCCGCCTCCTACGGTAATCTGGACAAAGTCTCTCTTCTGCCCCTTGTGGAGGAAATAATGAAAAATAAAATGGCTTGCCAACCCAGTGAAGTAAAAACCCTCTCCGCAAAGGCAGAAAAGGTGGAGACGTGTATTTCTGAAATAAGCAAGAAACCAGCCGGGGTGGGGGGTGGGCTTCGGGGGAGCCCCTGTGGAAGAGATCCCAGAACGGTGAACCACATGAGGTTTTGAATCACCAGGCAGAGTCCACCTACTGCATGCATGTGTGCTCAAGATAAAGGATGAGTTGTTTTTACATATGGAACTCCAGTGGCGGTCAAAACAATCCCTTGCTACCTGAAAAGGTCGGCAGTTCAACCAAATCAGCCGCTCTGCAGGAGAAAGATGTGACATGTACCCTGTGGGGTAGTTTTACTTTGTCCTACTGGAGTTCTGGTGTGGCGCTATGGGATCAGCACTGGACTGCTAACCACAAGGTCGGAGGTTCAAACTCACCAGAAACTCCTTGGAAAGCCTATGACTCAGAAGTGATGCACTTAACAACGTAGGGTCTCTGAGCCCTGGTGTGGCGCTGTAGGATAAGCACTGGATTCGTAACCGCAAGGTCAGCAATTCAACCAGCCTCTCTCAGAAACTCTATACAGGTTCACTATGAGTCGGAATCGACTGGATGACCCACAACAACCACCTAGGGTTTCTGTCGGAACTGACTGTAAGGCAGTGGGGTTTTAAAAATAAGAGTACTGTTGAGTTAACTTTGACCCTATGGGTTGTAGACTATAAGTGTGCTCCACAGGGTCCTCATGATCTTTCAGAAGAATACTGCCAGGACTTTCTTCCTAGGTGCCTCTGGGTGGGTCTAAACCTTTTGGGTTGTATTCAAACATATCACTATTTGCATGACTCAGGGGCTCATTGGTAATACATAAACCAGGGTTAAAATTCACCATCAGAAACCCTATATGCAGGGTCACTATGAACCAACTCAAGGGCACTTAACAACAACAACAACAAAGCCACTTGGTAATTGGGCTGTTAGCTAATCACCTTTATCCAAAGGAAAAGTAAGACCTCCCACATCTCTATGAGCAGTGGGGACTCCCAGCTTGGAGGCTGGAAAGGAAGTTCAGACACAGGGAGGCTGAGGTGAGGCCAGTCCGGGAGGTCTGCAGTCACAGAGGTGTGGTGTGGGAGCCCTTCAAGAAAGCATTCCTGAGTTTCCAAACTGACAAGCTGATTTTAGTCCGTAAAAAGATTTACATGCACGTCAAAGTCCTGGTGTGGCACTGTAGGATCAGTACTCGACTGGTAACCACCAAGTCTGCTGTTCAAAGCCATTAGCTGCTCCTCGGAAACCCAACACAGGTTCACTATGAATCAGAACACACTCCACAGCAGTTAACAACAACAGTTTTAAAGTGCCATCAAGTTGGTTCCGACTCAGCGACCCTGTATAGGGTTTCCATGGAGCGACTGATGAGTACGAATCACTGGCTTTGTGGTCCAAACCAACCTTGCAACCCAGTGCTTTATCCCACAGCACCACACCAGGACTCCATGGTAACAATGTTGTTAAGTGCCGTCAAGTCAGTTGCAACTCATAGCAACCCTGTATAGGGTTTCCGAGGAGCAGCTGGTGAGCTTGAACCACCGACCTTGCAGTTCAAACCAACCTTGCGGTTTAGCGCATTAACCCACAGCACCACACCAGGACAATAGCACATACCTGTTCCTGTGGTCAGAGGAAGATGAGACTTTCTGTTCTCTCAAAGATTTAAATCCTCAGAAACTCTGTGCAGAGTTGCTGAATAGAAACCGAATCGACTTGCACTTAGCAACAACAACCTTCGTGTGGTCAAGTCTTGGTGGCACAATGACTAAGCACTTAATTGCTAGGTGAAAGATCGGCAGTTCAAACCCACCAGCTGCTCAGTGGGAGAAAGAGGAGGCAATTTGCTTACGTAAAGATTTACAGTCAGGGAAACCTTATTGGGGCAGTTCTCCTCTGTCTTAACAGGGTTGCTGTGAGTCCAGTCGAGCTGATGGTAGCAGGTTTGGTTTTGAGTATTAAGGTGGCATTTATAAGAAATGGGGACAAGAGGCCATAGTGGAAGACAGGGTTGAACTCTACATGAAGGGTAGGCAGCAGAGTTCTAGATTCAGGAAAGGCACCCTTCACTTCACAGTGATAGGATGGATACCTTTCCTCTGCCTCACCCAGGTGTTAGGGCAAGAGCCTGGGACCAGAGACCCCAGGATGCTCACAGGACATCCATTGAACTGGCTTCCCAGACAAGATGCTCTCTTTGGAAATCAATGCATTAGAGCCCCAGAAAGAGAAACGAAGCTCCAATCACTGTCTCGAGGAAAGCTGCCATCTGTAGAAGGAGATTCTGGCGAACTGATCATCAGGATCAGGAGGGGAGGCTCCATCCATTCTGTCCAGGGAGTCCTGTAGGGACATCTGGCAGAGTCTGGAGACATAACTGGGGAGAGGCATCTATAGGGTAGAATTCATGAATGCTGACATCTTACATTGCAGGGGTCCACCCCCACCACATAGAATGATCCAACCCCAAATGTGAGTGCTGCCGGGGTGAGAAAGCTGGCTTCATCCGGTTTCCTGCCCTTCTTGTGTCCCCGCCCCCCGTCTTTGTTTTCACCCACACGCCACACTTGCCCGTCTTTTATGCCGTTCTGCTAGCCCGCCCAAGAGTCAGCCGGACTCCTCTTTCTGAGGTCCTCCTGAGGGGAGGCTGGACTGCTGGCTTCCCTCACTGACCCGAGAAAGCCCAGCCCCACTTTCTTCCACAGCTGCCTGAACGCAGATCGAACTTACACTTATCCAAACAAAACATAACTAGGAAATCTATGGGAAAAAATAATTTGTTCATGTATTGTGATGCTCATTAAAAATGATTTTTGGATTTCCTTCCGTTTGGGAGATCGCCAGGCCCCTCCCTCTGCCATCAAGAACTGACTTTATTTGCAAGACTGCATGACAGAATAACTTTCCTCCAATTAAAACACTCCACAGATAAAGTTAGATGCTAGGTCAAACCCACCTCCGTCTGCCCCAGGGAAGACTCCTCCCCATGCCACGCCCCTTGCTGCCTGCTCCAAAGACTCAAGGCCCCCCTGCCTCTTATAACTCCTTTCAGGCAGATAAGAGTTCCACATTGTGTGGGTGGTCCCAGCAAAGCCTTGCTAGAAAGGAATCTCTCCCCGTGAGAATCCCATCCCTTCAGGCTGTTTGTAAAACGGGTTAAGTGTGGAGTGGGTTCTCATTGCGGCTCTGTGTAGGGATCCCAAGGAAATGCTGGTGGGTTGAAATGCAGACCTTGTTAGCAGGCCAGTGTTTATCCTACAGCATCATAACAAGACTCTACTAAACTTGCTGGGCAAAAAACCACCCAGGCAACTGTTAAAAGATCACCAGACTTCATTAAATAAGAATTTCTGGGAAAGAGCCTGGGAGGTTTCAGTTAACAGATCCAACCCTGCCCCACCCCACCCACACCCCCATCATCACATTGATTCCCACTCCTGTCAAACCTGTGTTGAATGTTATCAAGTGGGGTCTGACCCATGGTGACCCTGTGTATCCTTTCCAAGGCTGCAAATACTGCAGGAGCAGAAAGCCTCCTCTTTCTCCCACGGACCCTGTGTTGTTAAATGCCATCAAGTCAGTTCCGACCCAACAGTGACCCTGTACAGCAGGGGTGGGGATCATCCCTGTATGAGGCCCGTTAAATCATTTGGTCAGGCCCTGCTAAGGCAACCATCCAAATATTTGTTGTCGTTAATTGCTGTCGAGTCAGTTCTGACCCATAGTGACCCTGTATAGGGTTTCCAAGGAGCAGTTGGTGAGCTTGAACAGCCGACCTTGCAGTTCAAACCGACTTTGCAGTCCAGTGCATTAACCCACAGCGCCACACCAGGACTACAAATAAATATATCTGGCTAATTTTTAAATTGATAATTTTGTATGGCTCATGACTGATTTTATAAATAACCAGATGGCCCTTGGCAGAAAAAAGGTTCCCCACCCCTGCTGCTCTGGTGGCATAGTGATTATGGCTGGGCTGCTAACCTAAAGGTCGGCAGTTTGAAACTACCAGAAGTTCCACAGGAGAAAGATGAGGCTTTCTGCTTCCATAAAGATTTACAGCCTCAGAAACTCTTATGAGTTGGAACCAACTCCATGGCATATTACTACCACTTCTGTTGTACTGGGTTCAAAAGCACTTGGGTAGGGGGGACTATGAGGCTATGTGCTCCTATACAGAGTTGTTGAGCCATCAAGTTGATGCTGGTGGTGTGTGGCCTGTATGTTTATCTTCTAAGCTCTCCACCCTGACCACCACTTATGGGAAGGGTCTAGCTTAGTATGTGCTCTCTCAGCCTTTCTGGGTGAGAGCTGAGGGCTTTCGGGTGCACGGTACAGGTGGGAAGACTGGTGAACCTCCGCCAGTCACAGGAGAGCTGGGGTCTGCCCCTGGCTCTGAGTCTAGTGCCTAGACCACAGCCAGCTTGCCCAGGGGGCTCCTACTGGTGTAGTGGTACCCCCCCCCGGGGCCAGGTGACAGCTTGGTATGCATCTGAGGGAGGTTGGCTGGCAGCCAGACGTCCTGATGGGCCTGGGTTTAAGGGGGTCTTGTCCCACCTCCCAGCTGAGCACTGCTCCCACGGGTGACCTTCCAGCATTATGCCTCTAGTCCCCATGGTGCGTTGGGATAGAGCTCAGCACCTGGCCGTGGTGGTGGTAGGTCCAGCTCTCTGAGAAGTCCCTGGGGGTGCAGTGTATCTGGCCCTGTGCTCTAACTGTCCCTCTCCTCTCTCCCTACAGTACTCCCCCAGCATGAGGGCTACCTACCTGTCTGTGGCAGATGAGCACGTGAGGCGCTATGGGAGCGAGTTTCCAGCCTAACGACTCCCAGGGCTCCCAGCCTCCTCACAGCTGCATTTCTGTCCTAGAAACAGAAGTCAGGACCATGGGGGAGCTGCTGCCGTGAGAAGCATCCAGATTTGAGGAGACTAAGGCCAGTCTGAACAGAAGACCTACAACGTGACGTGGGCCTCTTCCATCTATCTCCAACAAGTGGAGGTGGGGTTTCCAAGCTGCCTGGTCCTCGCTCCAGCAGCCTAGCGGAACCCTATGTGACCTCCACCTTCACCAGGTGGAGTGGGCGGGCGCTGCCACCCTTGGAGCCAGTCCCTCCTGGGGTCCTACTGCCAGGACCTAACCTCCTGTTAGCTCAGGCAGGCTCAGAAACCCAGGTGTCTTCCTGGCTGCCTCGATGGGGTGGCGTTTTCCTGTGGGTCATCTGGGCCAGGCTGCCGCAAACTGCTGACAAGACCTAACACTACCCTAACCAGGTGTCTGCTGCGCACCCAGGTTGGAATGTGGCTGACAGCCTGCCCTTATTTCTGCAGCCTCCAACGATTCACCTCCGTCCAGGAAATGATGCTTCCAGGTAGTTAGCTTCAGCCACAGACAGTCTCAGGTATTAACAAACTTTGGAAATGACTTTAATTCCTATTTTTCCAGTTTTTGCATACTGGTAAGCGCCGCTTAATGTCTATTTGGGCAACGTCCAACCATATACACGAAAGGGTGTCAAAAAGCTTGTGGAAGAATTCTATTCACTTTCATTCCATTTTTCCCATAAGCGTTTTGAAGCAACCTCATCCATCCTGTGGTCTCATAATGTTGTCTGTCTTGTTTTATTTAAAGGGAAAGCAGCTCTCCTTTTATCATTTTCCCCTAATGGTTTTAAAAACCCCTAGCCCAGACTCTTGCAGCCCTGGACCATACACACAGGTGGGCTACAGGCAGGTGAGGCAGAGGACCTAACTCTGGGTACAGGCTGTAAGTGTTTGTTCAGCAGGCAGGTGGGCAGCAGACACTGCAGGGCCTGGGCTACTCCTGCTGCTCAGGTAGGAAGAAGAGCAGATGAGGCTGGGTCACTGGGCTCCCAGATGAGGCTGGGTCACTGGGCTCCCAGATGAGGCTGGGTCACTGGGCTCCCAGATGAGGCTGGGTCACTGGGCTCCCAGATGAGGCTGGGTCACTGGGCTCCCAGATGAGGCTGGGTCACTGGGCTCCCAGATGAGGCTGGGTGCACAACCTGCTCATTTCCTGTTGCTCCGTTTGCTCTCACCACTGCCTTCTCAGTCCACAGCAATAGCAGTGATGAGGACAACCGAAAATGGGTTCCCGTAAGGTTTGAACATGGTGTTTGCACAACATCCAAATCACATGACGTCCTGTTTCACAGAACGTATTGTGAATATTAAGTGTCAAATACCTATATCTCGATTATCCAAAGAACCAGTGCCTGAACTACGTCCCAAATTTGCAGTCCTCACAACACTCATGCCCTGGTGGTCTTTGCACCTCTGCTTGGCAGGGTTTTCTGGTGGATGTGGAAGTGGGGGGGTCTGAGGTTCAACCCATTCAGGAGGGAGGCTCTTTAAGAGTGGGGAGACAACTGAACAGACTGCCCTATTCTTGGGGAGACGCTGAATGAGTAGAACACCTATCCCCTCCCTTTCATCTTCAAGCAAGTTCTCGTCAGTGGTTTCAGCAGAAACAGGATGTGATAGTGTCTTAAAGTGAAGATAGTTTCCTCCCTACCTCCCCAACCACCCCATGTCCCAGCCCCCGGTCATTCCTGCAAGGTGGGACTGATCCTGTTAGCCAGGAATGGAAAACAAGCCACCATCCAGCCCTGTGGAGAGTCCAGGGAGAGGGTCTCCTGCCAACTGGGTGCACACCAGGACACCCCTTAACCCCGCTCACACTCCCAAGCAGGGACTTGGGCACCATAACTTGAACAGGGGCTCTTTTCTTTATTTTTGGAAGAGCCAGTTTGTCATCAGAACACTGACAGCAGAGATAGAACCCACATTAACCTGTACGTACCACGTACCCTAAGCTCACTCACCCTTTTATGTCCACATCCATATTGCGTGCCAGCAGGGAAGTCCTATGATGCCAAGGTGTCGCTTCTTAATGTTTCATGGTTGGCAACTAAAAGAGGTGTTTTTAATGCATGCAAACCAAACTGAAATTCCTTGGGTGGCTCTGCCAGGTGGGTAGACCTTTGCTTCTTACCTGTGTAACCTCACCTGGAAGAGAAATAAACCACTTGTACTAAATCTGCAATCCGCCTTTACCTTCCTCGACTTCAGAGAGTAAGGCGGGTGGTGTGGTAGGTGTGGAGGGGCATCAAAGCAGGTATCTGTTTCCATGAGGAGGTGGGAAGGTGGAGCCATTGAATGATGGTCACAGGGCACCTCACATGCCCTCCAGCTGGTCTTGGACTACCAAAGATAGGCTTCACTTGTGCCCTCATCTGTCTCCAGACTCCCCATAAAGACCTTGCTCTTAGTAATGTTGTCAGGTGCCTCTGACTCAGCAGCTCATGTTACACGGTAGAACTGCCCCATAGGGGTTTCTAAGTTGTCATCTTTATGGGCACGGACTACATAGCTCTCACCCATAGGCTAATGAGTAGGTTCAAACCGCCAACCTATCAGTTAGCTAAGTGCAGAGCCATTGTGCCACCAGGGATACTTGTTAGTTGTTGTTGTGAAATGCCATCCAGTCAGTTCTGACCCATAGCGACCCTGTTTAGGGTTTTTGAGGAGCAGCTGGTGAGCTTGAACCTCCGATCTTGCAGTTCAAACTGACTTTTTGCAGTCCAGTGCATTACCCTACATGGGTGTTTACTCTCTCTCGGTACATAAGTACCTATGTGTTTTTAAGTCCAGTTGAGTCAGTTCCAACTCAGCGACCCTGTGAATTTTTGAGGAACAGCTGGTTCAAACCGACCTTGTGGTCCTACAGCACCACACCAGGATTCCTACATTACTAGTATCTTTGTTGTTAAGTGCTGTCTAGAAGGAGCTCTGGTAGCGTAGTGGTTACGAATCGGGCTGCGAACCTTAAGGTCAGCAGTTCGAAACTACCAGCCGCTCCGCGGGAGAAAGATGAGG